ACCACGGCCTGCATGGACCCCCACGGACTGGCCCAGCACCACCCTTCCATGAGCGGAGCTGGTGACAGCGTGGCCCAGGCTTGTGCGGCTCTTACACAGCACTGTGACGAAGGCCGAGGCAGAAGGCGGCTTCCACAGCCCATTGCTGGGGATGCAGGTGTATTTGCCGGTGTCATCCGGGGTCGTTTGCTGGAGCAAGAGACTCCCGTCCACGAGGACGCGGACCCGAGCCTGGAGGCGGCTGGAAGGGAAGGGAAGGGGAGGGCAGTGGTAAGCGGCATGGCTGGGACTATCCCCACTGCCCTGGGATGGGGGAACCTGCCTGCCACGCACCCAGCCAGCCCATCGCGCTCAGATCCAGGCTTCATGGGGGCATAACAGCCCCTGCCGGCTCCAGCATTGCCAGCAGGAGCCTGTGGCCGCCTTGGTGCCATCCCCATCCCCACTGTACCTGAGATGGAAGACATTGCTGCTGCCCTGGAACCAGGTGTAGGTGAGATTTCCCGGGTACGCCTCAGCCTGGCACGCCAGAAAGGCATCTTGGGAGACGTTGACGGTGACGTTCTGGGGTGGCACCACAATGACGGGTGGCCCTGCAGTGCAGAGCAGAGGGGAAGGTGAGGGCTGGGGACAGGGGATAGCCCCAGCTGCTCCCAAAGGCTGTCACACCCACGTCTGCCCCAAAACCAGCCCCCGTGATGCGGCTCCCTCCACGGCCTGCGGCAGCACCCAGCGGGGTGGCCCACATGGCCGGGGCTGGGAGAGCACCTGCTCTTACCCTGCACAAGCACGCGGGTGGTGTGGGTGATGGTGCCCTCCTTGCTGGAAGCATGGCAGGTGTAGGTGCCCGCGCTGGCGCGCTCCACGACGGCAATGCTCAGCGTCCCGTTCCTCACCTGCAACGGCACCGGGCGCATGGCACAGCCACCGAGGGACAGGACGCTCTCAGGAACATGGTGCTGTGGCCAGGGCTGGTGGCAGGGAGTGGGTGCCACCATGGTGTGGACGGGCACCCGCTCTCCAGCCAAGCAGAACTGCATTCCTCTGCGTGCCTGACTGCCCCACGAGAGCCTGGCCAAGGTGGGGGGCACATACCGGGCAGGGAGGGGGTAACCGGTGGTTTGCAGTCCTCACCTGCACTGTGTCCC